AGAAGAAAATAATGAAATAGCTCATTGGAAAAACAGCTGACCTGGAAAATAGATCAAGAAAAGATAATTTAAGAATTATTTGACTGCCTGAAAACCATGATCCAAAAAAGAGCCTAGTTATCATCATCTTTCAAGGCATTATCAAGTAAAATTGCCTTGATAGCCAAGAACCAGAGGGTAGAATAGAAATGGGAAGAAACTAGTCATCACCTCCTAAAAGTGATCCCCAAGGAATATTGTAGCCAAATTCCAGAGCTCCTAACTCAAGGAGAAAATTTTGCAAGCAGCCAGAAAGAACCAATTCAGATGCTGCGGAACCACAATTAAGATAACACAAAATGTAGCAACTTCTATATTAAAGGATGCAAGGGCTTGGAATATAATATTTCAGAGGGCAAAGAAGCTAGGACTACAACCAAGAATCACCTACCCAGCAAGACTGATTATAATCTTTCAGGGGGAAAAATAGACATTTAATGAAATAGAGGACTTTCAAGCATTCTTGATAAAAAGACTACAAAAAAGAATAGAAAATTTGGCTTTCAAATACAAGACTGAAGAGCATAAAAAGGTGAACAGGAAGGAAAAACCATAAGGGTTTCAATAAGACTAAACTGTTTACATTCCTACATGGAAAGATGATACTTGTAACTCCTAAGAATTTTCTGATTATTAGGGCAGTTAGGAGCAGTATTCATAGACAGAGAGCACAAGTGTGAGTTGACTATGATAGAGTGATATCTTTAAAAAATAAAATTAAGTGATGAGAAAGAGGGATGACTATGATGGGATGGCATCTAAAAAAATTAAGGAGTGAAAAAGAGGGATACGTTGGGAGAAGACATAAGGGAGAGGTAGAATGGGGTAAATGATATCACACAAAAGAGGCACAAAAGAACTTTTACAGTGGAGAAGATGGCAGGAGGGGTAGTAGATAATGCTTGAACCTTATTCTCATTGGAATTGGCTCAAAGAGATAATAATGTACACAGTCAGGTACAGGGGTGGGGCTGATAGAAAGAAGGGTGGGTTGGGGGAGGTGGTGTCCAGAAGCAAGGAGGGATAGGATGAAAGGAGGGAGAAGAGGATAAATGAGGGAAAAAATAGGATGGAGGGAAATGCAAAATAATTCTTACTCTGGAAAAAAATTTTACACAAAGTTTCTTTGATAGAGGCCTCATTTCTCAACCATACAGAGAACTGAGTCATTTATAAAAATACAGTCTTTCCCCAATTGATAAATGGTCAAAGGATATGAACACATAGTTTTCAAATGAAGAAATCAAACCTATCTGTAGTAATATGAAAAAAAAAATGCTCTAAGTCACTATTGTTTAGAGAAATCAAACTAAAACAATGCTGAGGTACCACCTCACACCCATCAGATTAGCTAATAGACAAGGAAAAATAACAAAGGTTGGAGGGAATGTGGGAAAATTAAGGCACTAATGCACTCTTGGTTGTAAACAGATTAAATCATCCTGGAAAGCAATTTAGAACCATGTTCAAAGGCTATAAAACCATGCATACCCTTTGAGCAATACTACTACTACTACTCAATCTATACCCTAGAGATAAAAAATTTTTTAAAAAAGGCAAAGGGACCTATATATACAAAGATATTTAGAGTAGCTCTTTTTGTGATGGCAAAGAATTGGAAATTGAAGGGATACCTGTCAGTTGGGGGATGGCTGAACAAGTTGTGGTATATGATTATGGTGGAATACTGTTGTGCTGTAAGAAATGAGAAGCAGGATGGTTTTAGAAAAGCCTGGAAAAACTTAAAGGAATTGATGCAAAGTGGAGTGAGCAGAACCAGGAGAATATTTTACATAGTAATTAGCAATATTGTACAATGATCAACTGTAAATGACTTAGCTACTCCCAGCTACTCTCAGTAATAAAATGACCCAACACAATTCTGAAGGACTCATGATGAAAAATGCTATCCATCCCCAGAGAAAGAACTGATGGAATCTGAATGCAGATCAGGCAAACTTTTTTTTTTAACTTTCTTTTTGTTTTTTGTTTTTTTTGTGTGTGTGTATGTTTTAATTTGTGTTTTCTTTCACAATATGGCTAATCAGGAAATTTGTTTTGCATGACTGCACATGCATAATCTGTATCAAATTGCTTGCCTTCTCATTGAGAGGGGAAGGGATGAAGGGAGGAAGAGAATTTGGAACTCAAAATTTTAAAAATGTAAAGTTGTTTTTGTATTTAATTGGGAAAAAATAAAGTATTTCAAATAAGAAAAGTTTTATGTATTTGTATAATGCATTATATAATGTCTTACGTGTAACAATAATGTATCATAGTATTATACATGTTACATTATTATAATATTTTAACATTAAAACTTTAAACTACACTAAGACTTTTGAGACGCCCATTATTTGCAGCTCTCAGTCTCTACAGTCATGCTGGATGTATTTCACTCCACATGTCCCAAAAGCATTTCCACTATATCTCTCACATATGTCTCCTTCTTTTCACTCAGAAAGCCAGGAGGCCTTATCACCTTCCACCTAATTGAACTCCCATCCTCAAGGCTGTCCCCACTTCAGGCCATCACCTATATAGCTGCCAAAATGATTTTCCTACAGTATCAGACTAACCATATCACTCCTATTCAATGAACTATGATTACTCCTTGATACCTCTAGGGTCAAATATAGACTCCTTTTTAGTGTTAAAGTTCTTCACAACATTGGTCTCTTTCTTTCCAGTCTACTAGGAAGTATTCCCACTTATTCCCACTCACACTTTCCACAGTCCAGCTCCATTGGCCTCCTTAACATTCCTCACACACAATGTTCCATCCCCTGTCTCTGGACCTTAGAATTGATTGTTCCCTATTTCTGGAATGATCAACTTTCTTGTCTCTGCTTCTTACGTCCTTCAAGACTGCTGAAGCGCTGGTCCCATAGGGAGATCTTTCCTGTCTCTCCTCCCACCTGCTAGTGTCTTCTTTTGTAAGGAAATCTCCCAATTTTTGTGCTGTATTTTCATCTTAACTTCTATTTCATAAGACAGATTGCTGAGAAGAACAGCTAAGGTATTAATAAGTTAAGGTCCTCTTTAATCATTGATTACGAAAAATAATAATTAGTTACCCTAAGTAATTATATAATCTTCTTACAAAAAAAGTGTTAGTCTGAGATTGGTCTTCTGGAAGTTCAGGACCTGTGATATTTAGACATTCTGGTAAGAAATTAAACAAATATAACTGTATTAACCTGCACTTTTAAAAATTAAAAATCAGTGGGGCAGCTAGGTGGCGCAGTGAGTAGAGCACTGGCCTTGAAGTCAGGAGGACATGAGTTCAAATCCGGCCTCAGACCAAACACTTGACACTAGCTGTGTGACCCTGGGCAAGTCGCTTAACCCCAATTGCCAAAAAAAAAAAAATTTAAAAATCAAGGCTGAAAAATAATTGACTGGTCATCAGATTTTTTAATATAAGCTATTAACTTTTATTTAAATCATTGTAGTAATTTGCATGTGGGCACTGTTAACTTTAAGGAAAGACAAAGGTGGTAGGACTTTAGCTGAACTTTGTTTTTTGTTGGTTTTGTTTTGTTTTGTTTTTGTGGGTTTTTTGTTGTTGAGTTTTGGTTTGTTTTTTTTTTTTTTTTCTTGGTGAGGCAATCAGGATTAAGTGACTTAACCAGGGTCACACAGCTAGTAAGTGTCAAGTGTCTGAGGTCACATTTGAACTCAGGTCCTCCTGACGCCAGAGCTCTATCCGCTGAGCCACCTAGCTGCCCCTTTCAGCTGAACTTTGAAGGAAACTAGGTTTCATAAAAGGTAGAGATGAGGAGGTAGTATAGTGCATTCTAAGCGTGGCACAGATAGCCTGTGCAAAAGCAAAAAGATGGAAGATGAACTGTCATTTCTTAGGAATGGCAAGAAAACCAGTTTGGCTGTACTATAGAGTGTATGCACAAGAGTAATGTATTTGAATAGAAAGGTTGGTTGGAGCCATATTGTAAAAGTCTTTAAATGCCAAAGAAAGACGTTTGTATTGATTCTAGAGATAATAGGGAACCACAGGATTTTATTGAGCAAGGGAGTGGCATGATCCTGTGTTTTAAGGAATGTCTAATTTATATAGGACCTCAAAAGCATATTAGTGCAACCTTTAAAAAGAGGCACTTTTACTTCATCCCCCAACTGATGGTCTTCTAGCCTTTGCTTGAAAAGTCTTTGTTTGTTTTTGTTTTTGTTTTGTTTTGAAAACTTCTAAAGTGGAAATATAAGTAAGGCAAAAGATTTTCTTGCTTTTATATAATTTGTAGGTCGTATGACTATTTCATCATCTTTTCATTTGAGATGCTTATCTTAAGAGATTTTAATCCTTTAAACATTATTTTAAATTGCTTAATTATATTGCAAAGGTGAAGAAACTGCAAAAGAGGTCAAGTGATTTATCCCCTGTCACTCAGACATTTGTAAATAAATTCAGATTGGTTGAAATTTTTTTAATATAAAACTTTTGCATTATTTTATAATGTGAAATTGGAATAACCTTTTTATACGATAATTTTATCACAAATCTCTTACATATGTCACTAAAAGGATTTTTGTCATAGTTTAAAAGATAGTTATGATTAGTTTTTCCCTCCTGTTGTCTCTTAAAAATAACGATCTTATAGTCACTATTAATATCTAGAATTATAGAATTATAATAAAAAAGGAATCTATTATTAGTTTGGCATATTACCTGCTGTAAATTCCTTTTTTATATTGCTGCATTGTAATTTTTAGTTCCCCAGGGTAAAAAAATAAGAAACTTCACAGGAAATGCTATCAGGATATGGATACACAAATGTTTTCCCTTCTTTTACCATATGACTTGTAGCCCATATAATTATTTCTTTTCATTTGAGATGTTTAATACAAATACTAAAACAGATTTTTTAAAGCTCTCTGATTATGTTAAACTGATGATGTATCTTGTTCTGTTTATGTTTCCCCACCCCTTCAATGAATGACAGTTAAAGAGAAATTGACTGCGGATCCAGACAGTGAAATAGCTACGACCAGTTTAAGGGTTTCTCTACTCTGTCCAGTAAGTATTAACTGGCAATTTTTTTCTTGTTTGGACTCGTTAAGAAATAATTTTATAAGCAGAACTACAAAAATCATACAATGACTGCAACAAAGAGCTGGAATTGGATGTTGGTTCATTGTGATGACCAGGTGTGGCCCCAGACAAAACACAAGGAATTCTATTTCCCACCTTCTTTGCAGAGGTAGGAAAAGAGCATTTACGATACTATCAGACTGTTCTGCTAAACTGCTTTTTTCTTTCTTTTTTAAATCTTACAAGGGCTGACTCACTGGGCAGGGGAAAGAGGAAATAGATTTTCAGAAATAATGGTAAAAATTAAAGATAACAATAAAATCTTTTTTAATGTTTGAAAAAATCCATTAAGGCTAAAGGGAGGGTCAAAGCACAATACTTTAAGAAATACAAGAAAGGAAATTTCAGCTGGGGAAAATCAGTAGGTTTCATGGAAGTGGTGGCATTCTAGCAGGGAAGAGGAGTTCAGCAAATGTGGATGAAGTAGCCTGTGCAAATGAATATGGAGGCCAGAGCCTCGTATTAGGGTTTATCTGAACTGTAAAGTGTAGTAGAGGCAAGAAAAGTAAGTTTTGTTCAAATTGTGGAAGACCATAAATGCCAGGCTAAGGAGTTTATTTTTTCTCCTTAAGGTAGTAGGGAGCTCTACTGAAGGTTTTTGAGCAGGGGATTAAGTAACATGATCAGAACTGTGCTATTTGAAAACTATAGTAGAGGAGACTGGGCCCAAAGAGACCAGTTAAGATTATTACAGTGTCCAGAAAAAAAGTTAATGAAGACCTGAACTAAGATAGTGGCAAGATTTGTGGTGGTAATAATCAGATTTGAATGTGGCAGCATCATCAGAAAGAGGTGATGATTTTCAAGGACGATGGCAAGTTCAGTTTTTGATATGTTGAGTTTCAGATGGTTGCTGAATATCCAGGTAAAGATGTTCAGTAGACATTTGTGAACACAGGATTGGAGCTGAGGAGAGAGATTAAGGCTAAATATATAGCTTGGGACTTTACAGTGTGGAGAATGGTACATGGTGAATATAATTATAGCTTCGAAAATCAATGAGATTGCCAAGGGAGGATTTAGAAGAAGAGAAGAGGACTGAAGACAAAGCCTTTGTCAATAACCATTCTGAAAACGGTCAGAAAGATAGTAGGAGAAAGAATGCAGTGTCATAGAGGAGAGGACAGTGAGGATAGGAAGGGTAGGATGGTTGTCAGACAACTCAAGGAGAATGAGGCCTGAGAAAAAGACAGCGAATTTGGGCATTTATAGGTTAGTGGAGAACTTAGAACTGTTCAGTAGCTTTTCACATAGAAGCCTCCTAAATAAAGAAATTTTTTTATAGCTAGCACACACAGTAGATTACTATGAAAATGAACTGATTGGACACTTAATAATTATAATCTGAATTTTTTTCAGCCATCAGTGATTGTTTTATAAATCTAAAAAAAGACCATATTAAAAGCATGTTAAAATTAAAACACAGAACTATCATTGTCCATGGCTTACCAAAAGATGAGACCTGAAGAATTTGGTATATAGTGAAAAGCCTTAAATTTTTATAATTTTGAACTTTAATATTTTTTTTAGTAATAATAATTGCCATTTGGCATGCCAGTGGTTTATCTCAATTGTGTACACATGTATCAAAAGTTCAGGGGCAGGTAAATGGTTCAGTGGATAGAGCACCAGCCCTGGAGTCAGGAGGATCTGAGTTCAAATCTGGCCTCAGACCACATAACACTCACTAGCTGTGTGACTCTGGAAAGTCACGTAACCCCAATTGCCTCACCCCCCCCCAAAAAAAGTTCATAGCAAATTCAGTATTTACCTTATATTTGATTATCAAATTAATCCTAGCTTAATAGTTGGGACTGGAGGATGGAGAGTGAGGGAATGCATCTGTTTGCTGCTTGAAATTGTTCAGGCCTGAAGTTCAAAGTTCTTTATATTGGAACTTCATTAATTTTAAGATAAAAAGTTATTCTAGTCTCAGAAAAACTTATGATTATGAGGAAAATAAATGTATTCCTCCAGTAATATAGTCAGTCTTGTATCTCTTGCTGTGTCACTTTAAAAAGTTTCTGATCAGTCAGCAAGCATTTATTAAGTGCTGAGGTACAAGTACAAAAAATGACACAATCCTCACAAGGAGTTTACATTATAATGGGGGAAGACAACAAGAATATATAAAAGTTTATATAGAATAAATATATAGTGAATAAATACAAAAGTAGCTAAATACAAGGTAAACAGCTAAATGGCACATTGAATAGAGTGCTGACCTGCAGTCAGAGAGACCTGAGTTCCAATATGACCTCAGATACTTCCTATCTATATGACCCTAAGCAAGTCACTTAATAGCTGTCTGCCTTAGTTTCCTAATCTGTAAAATAGAGATAATAATAACAGCTACTTCCAAAGATTATTGAAATAAAATATTTGTAAAAACACACACGTATGTATTTGTAAAATAATTTGTAAAAGAAAAAAAAGTTACTTTACAAATCTTAAAGCATCATATAAACACCAGCCAGTTTGATAAGGAGGGTACTAGCAGTTGGAGGGATGAAGATAAACTTCATGCAAATAATAGTGATTGAACTGCATCTTAAAGTAAAATAGACAGACACTTGACACTTACTAGCTGTGTGACCCTGGACAAATCAGTTAACCCTGATTGCCTCACCAAATGCAAAAAAAAAGAAAAAAGAAAAGAAAAATAGAATCTTTGAGTCAGTATGTGGGATGACTGGTGCTAAGGCATGGAGATGGGAGTTTGTGAGGGACAGAGAAAAGGCCAATGAGGCTGGATCTCAGAATGTGGGAGGGGGAATAATTTTGTACGAGGCTAAAAAGGTAGGTTGTAACTAGGTCATGGAGTGCTATAATAGCTAAACACAGGAGTTTATATTTTATCCCAGAGCCATCATGAAGTCACTGAAATTTATTGAGTTGGAAAGTTATATGGTCAAATCTATACTTAAGGAACATTACTTTAGCAGTAGTATATAGGATTGATTAGGCTGATGAGAGACTTGAAGGAAGGAAACCAATTAGTAAAGGAGGCTATTGCAAGAATTTAGGCAAGATGTGATGAAAACTTGAACTAACTTGATAGCTGTGTGACTGGAGAGGAGGGGCCAACGCAGAGGGATTTTGTTGGGGTATAAAAGTCAAGATTTGGTGGTATATTATTCTGAAAAGGGATCCATAGGCTTCACCAGACTGCCACATGACACAGAGAAGGTTAAAAACCAGTGGTATTGAAAAAGAAAGGAAGAGACCATACAACAGAACCTTGGAGAATACCTACAGTAATTAAGGAGCATGGTGCAGCAAAGGAGCAGTTAGGTTCTCAAACCAGGAGAAGAAGATAGTGTCACAAAATCCCAAAGTTGAGGAGAGCATCCCCAAGGAGAGGGTGGACAGTAATGTCATATGTAGCAGATAGGTCAAAAAAGATGAGGACTGAAAAAAAAACATCAGATTTGTCACGTGAGAAAGAGGTCATTAAGGGGCAGCTAGGTGGCACAGTGGGTAGAGCACCGGCCCTGAAGTCAGGAGGACCTGAGTTCAAATACGGCCTCAGACCAAACACTTGACACTTAACTAGCTGTGTAACCCTGGGCAAGTCACTTAACTCCAGTTGCCTTTAAAAAAAAAAAGGTCATTATTACCTTTGGAGAGAGCAGTTTCAATTGAGTGATGCAGTTGGAACCAGATTGCAAAGGGAACAAAAGCAAGTGAGAAAAGTAGATGCAGCAAAGTATAGACAACTTTTTCAAGGAGTTTGGCTGAAAGGGGAAAAGACATAAGATAAGAGCCTGAGGGAATGCTAGGATCTAGTGATTGTTTATTAAGAAGCAAACAGAAATGTTGAGCACATTTGAAGGCAGTAGGTTAATAGGAAAAGGAAAAAGGGTACTCATGAAATGGCTTCAGTTTTCTCAGAAAAGTAGAAAACAAGAGTCCTGAGCTCAGAGAAAGGAGGGTGAGGAGAAATAGAAATATTCTACTGCATTCATATGGGAAACTTGAGGAAGGAAAAGAAAGGTTTGGAATAGTGTCTTTGAGGAATGAGAGAAATAATGAGGGAGGAATAAAAGAACTACCTTATTGCAGGGAAGTCCCAGTTGAGATTGGATAACATGAACTTGTGACCCCTTTACAGTGAGCTTTTTTCTCGGGGGGGGGGGAACAAACAAAAATACTGATCTGAGTTTTTGCACAGTTCATAAATTAGTAGTTAACAAAGTACCATTCTTTTTTTCCCCACAATTATAATTAAGAAAGCAATAGAAATATGTTTTCTCTCCTTCCCACCTCTCTCTCTATTAAAAAAGAAAAGAAGAACTAATTTATCACCTCTCTGTCAGTAGGTAGAAAATATGTTTCATCTTCAGTCCCCCTCTGGAATCATAACTGGTCATTGCATGGATTATAATTCTTAGAACTTTCAAAATTGTTTGTCTTTATAGTATTAGTAATAGTATTTATAGTATATAGTTATTGTGTAAGTTGTTTTCCTGATTCCGTTCATTTCCTTCTTTAGCAATTTTTAAAACTTTTCACAATTGTTTTTATAATATTGCTTTTATTGTAAATTGCTTTTCTGGTTCTGCTTACCTACTTTTGCATCAATTCATGTAAATCTCTTCATATCTCTTTGAAACCATTCATTTCCTTATTTTTTAATAGCACAATAGTATTTTACCACATTCATATACCGCAGTTTATTCAGCCATTCCTCAGTTGATGGGCTGGATATCCCTTTAGTTTCAAGTATTTTTACCACCATGAAAAGGGTTGCTCTAAGTATTTATGTACATATAGAACTGTTTTCTATTTCTTTGATTGAGGAGGGGGTTGTTGTAGTGGTATAGCTGGGTCACAAAGTATGTAATGTTTAATAAATTTTATGTGTAATTCCTAATTGCTTTCCAGAATGGTTTTACTCATTTACAGGTCCACTAAGAATGAATCAGGGGGCGTGATTTCCCATAGCCCTTCCAGCATTTATCATTTTCCTTCTTACTATCTTTTCCAATCTGACAGATATGAAGTGAAATTTTGGAATTACTTTAATTTGCTTTTTTCTACATTGTAGTGATTTGGAGCATCTTTTTTTCATATGGCATAGATAGCCTGGGTTTCTTTCTTTGAGAACTGCTGTTCAAATCCTTAGACCATATATCAATTGGAGAATGGCTCATATTCTTATAAATTTGAATCAATTCCTTATGTATCTTGGAGTAATATTTTAACAGAGAAACTTGCTGCAAAGATTATTCTCTTTTATTATTTATTATTATTTTCCTTTTAATCTTGGCTTTATTGAACTTGTGCAAAAATCTTTTAATTTTGTGTAATCAAAATTATTCATTTTATCTTTTGTGAACCTCTCTATCACTTGTTTGGTCATGATCTTTTCTTGTATCCCTAGATCTGTTAGGTATCTTTTTTTTCATGTGTCTCTTTATTTTCTGCTTTATCCTTCCTGTTTGTATCTCTTCTTCGTATCTGCATCCATGTTCTGCAAAATTATATATTATATGTTATATATATTATATATTGCCTCTCTAGGGTAGAGAGGAGATAAGACTCTTTACACAGTATTTTGACAAATCTGGATATCTGTGTTCTGTTCTTACAGCAAATTAAAAGTAAAGAAAAGCTCTTGGACATACTGAGGCCCATTAATTGATGAATAGTTAAACAAATAGTAAAGATAGTAACAAAAATAATGCTACTTCATAGTTATTTAATCTACTTGTGAATTTGACCTAAAAATGTAAGAGCCAGCTCCCATTTTTCATGGAAGACTGTGTTCTCATATACAAGAGGAGTTGCTGTAGTCACTGTCAAGACAGACTTGAGATTCTTTTTTGAGCTCCCTTTTAGTCCTTACAGTCACTAATGAGTCCCAGGCAGATGGGTAGGATTTGGGGATATTTAATAGGTGTGACATCAGTGGTTCCTGTGTCTCCAGAACTGACACTTCATCTCCCCTTGTTCCCTGTCACCTCAACAAATATGAATCCAAGTTTGTATATATGTGTGTATGTACATATGAACATCCTCTAAATCCTGAGCCAAAAATATGCTGTATTTGACATATATGAACCTGACCTGTTACTGGCAAATTTATACACAATGATGGCTGTGTTTTTATTTTTTATTTATTTAGTATTTTATTTTTCCCCAGTTACATGTAAAAACAATTTTAGCATTCATTTTTAAAACTTTTGAGTTCCAAATTCTCTCCCTTCCTTCCTCCTCATCCCCCTCATTAAGAATTAAATTTAATATAGGTTGTGCATGTATAGTCATGCAAAACATTTTTGTAATAGTAATGTTGTGAAAGAAAACATTGTCCAAGAGGCAGCGAGGTGGCGCAGTGGATAGAGCACCGGCCCTGGAGTCAGGAGGACCTGAGTTCAAATCCGGCCTCAGACACTTGACACTAACTGTGTGATCCTAGGCAAGTCACTTAACTCCAGTTGCCTCACCAGAAAAACAAATAAACAAACAAAAAAAAAAACAAGAAAAATAAAGTAAAAAAAAAAGTATGCTTCAATTTGTATTCAGATACCATCAATTCTTTCTCTGGGGATGCATAGCATTTTTCATCATAAGTCCTTCAGAATTGTCTTGGATCATTGCATTACTGAGAACAGCTAAGTCATCCACATCTGATCATCTTACAGTATTGTTGTTACTTTGTACACAGTACATTTCACTTTGCATCAGCTCATGTAAGTCTTTCCAGGTTTTTCTGAGAGCATCCTGCTCATCATTTCTTATAGCACAGTAGTATTCCACCATAATCACATACCACAGTTTATTCTGGCTGTGCTTTTATTAGCATAATAGAATTAAATATTGCTTGTTGTTTTCACTTGTAGCTTGCTAAAAGATTTGAAACGAATGTGGTTTTTTATCTTAATTCACTTATCTAATAAAATGAATAGGACAATCCTCCATCTAAATATTTCTTTATGTAATTTGATGAGTGACAACTTATTTAGATCCTTTCTTCTTGTAAAAGACTTACAGACTTTCAAGGACATTGTATAATTTGACATCACAATATCCTTCAGGTAATGTGTTACTTCCATTTTGCAGAGGGAGAAATTCAAGGCCAGAAGCATTTAGTTGATTTGCCTGGAAATGTCTAACAAAGAATTAGTATTGGCAAAATAATTTTGGGCTCTAAATTTTAGTTTATATCCTTAGTAAAATAGAGAATTCTATACATCTCTGAAACTGATGAGACTTTTATAGGCCTGAAATCATGCTAATTCTTTTTCCTAAATGAATTCTTAGCTTTTTTCCAATATTGACAGCTAAAACTTCTTTTGAAGTTAGAGCATAGCTGAAATATATGATACCAAAGTTCGAAGTCAACTGCTGAAAATAATGCCTCATCTTCTCTCCCCAAAGCAGAATCCTTCCTTCTGACTTTCTTCTCTCTCAAAAGCTTTTTCTTTCCTGCTACTTTATCCTTCATACATATTCAATTACTACTCCTATTGATTTTTGCCTTCACAATATTTCTCAAAATCATACTTTCTTTTCTCTCTGATACTATCCTAGTAAAGGCCCTCATCATCACCCCTCCTTGATTACTAATTAGTCTCCCCATTTCCAGTCTCTTCCTCTTTTGCATCCTTCTTCTTGAGTAGCTCCCCTTTGCCTGTTCCTTAGCCTAGTATTCAAAACCTTCTACAGCCTTTCCACTCCCTAATTCTGTATCCTTTCCATCATACTGCTGCCCTTTACATGTGCTTTTTTACCTCTGCACCTGTTCATGATGTTCATTGTGCCTTAAATATCCTCCCCAACCCAATCTTGTAAAACCCTACATATCCTTCAAAATTCAACCAGACTTTACACTTAATCCTCTCTGTCCCACCCCAAGTCAGAAATTATCTTCACTTCCTCTCACTTCAAATGGGATGTTATCCTATTCTGTGCTATATTTTTTGTAAATATTAATGTTTTAGTAGATGTATGGTTTCATCTGTATGGGTACACTTTCTATAAAAACAGGTTGCATCTCCTATACCTTCTCATGCTATACCATTATCCATGTTTTCTCATAAATCCTTCACAAATGTTCTAACATGCTAAAAGCCTTCATCTTATTCTTTTAATATGATACCAAGTTCCAGTATACCACTGGAACAATCCATCTTTTCTAAATATCCATTTTAACTGAGTGACCATTTCACCTCCTTTTTTGGTCATTCATGTCCTCAGTAATATCTTTTATATCAGTTCTCCCTTGTACGTAATCCTTAAGATGAATTTTAAATTGGAATAATTGTAAATTATTGTAACATATTATTTAGCACTGCATATCTGTGTGTATCTTATTAAGTTTAAGTTCTGTGAAGGCAGGGACTTATGTCTCTCTAAGTACCTGGTATGCATTATAGGGACTTGATTAAATGGCTCTTGAATGGCTTATAGAGCATTTTCTTTGGAAGCAGGAGAAATTTGAGCCACTAAATGATGCAATCAATCAAATACAGTAGAACTTGGTTGCCACGTGGAAGGTAGAGAACACTATACTCTGTCCACATTCTCAGAATGTGGTGAAATTTAGAAATAGAGTATCTGTGTAGCAGGTCAGCTTTCTCCCCAGGAAAGACAAAAACCAATTGGTCTGGGATAAGTGATAAATAGAAGTAACAGCAATTCCTGTTAGATTCACTTTTTTTCAGCCCCAGTAACAGGGAAAGAAGACGTACCCTATAGTTTCCACAAGTCCAAAGGTGTCTCCTAGCAGGGAGCTCTCTAGTTTGTACCTGACATTTTCTGGCAGAGACTGTGGACATCTTGAGATGGAAGCTTGTTCTTGGAACCATTTATTCAAAAGTTGAGAAAGATATGTTTTTTATATATTCTCTGAAACTACCATTAGTAAATGACATTATATTACAATGTGCTGCTATAATAATCACATTTTTTAAAATGTTCACTCGGCCTTTCCAAAGCTAGTATGTTTATATGTTATGAAATGCTTTAGGATATTTAAAACTAAATAAGTTTTACAGACTAAGTATTTGCGTCATTCTTCATAGCGAAACATTTGCTTTTAGCCAGGCCTGTTTAAATAGAAATTATAACCTGTATGTGGTATTTCAGAAAACTTAATTTGAAGTTTAAACCATGAAAAAAAAAACACTCTTGGATTTTTGTTTTGTTTTGTTTTCCCTTAAAGCTTGGTAAAATGCGCCTAACTATTCCATGTCGGGCACTGACGTGTTCACACCTGCAATGTTTTGATGCAACTCTGTATATTCAGATGAATGAGAAAAAGCCAACTTGGGTTTGTCCTGTATGTGATAAGAAGGCTCCATATGAACACCTCATTATTGATGGGTAAGCCACTTTGGAAGTAAAGCTTATATTTACAACTTGAAGATGGTCATCTAAAATATTTTTAAAGTTTTCACTTCTTTGGCATGTCATCTTGTTTTGAAAGTGCACATTTTACTATCTTTACTCTTAGTAATTAAAAATAAAAAGATGTAATTTTGATTCATTAATAGTTCTAATCAATTGTATATTTACTGTCTTGAACCAATATATCATGCTACCCCAAAACATATGAAGCCATAGGAAAGAAAGGATCATACAACTCTGCAAAAGACAAAAGTTGAGCTTTCAGTTATCCCATTTCTGTAGGTTGCCTACTCACTGAAAAAACTTTCCTTTCCTCCCACACTTTTTATTATTCTCTTGTATTTCTTCATTTTTTTCCCATAATATTCCCAATATCCTCAGTATAACTTAAATTTTTGGTTCCTTCTGTGTGATGAACTTTGTGCTGATGCATACTTAATCCATAATACCTAAAGTTACTCCTTCTTCCTCTTCTGTATTCTTTTTCCTATTCTGCCTGGTACTTTGGGTCCTTCTTCTGAATTTCTGCTCCACTTGCTTTCCCTCCACCTCCCAACTATTTCCCCCACTGACACATAGTAAAAGCCTGTAAGAAATGTTCATGACAAAGATGATGGTATTCATAGATACTGTAACAAATAAGTACAATGAAGCAAAACAAAATGACATATTGACCATATCTAACATTGCCTGTTGTCTCCTCTCTACTGGGGGAGGGGTGGAGTATATTTCATTACCAATCTAGAGTCAAGATTAGTCATTGCATTGATTGGAATTCTGATACTTTCAATTTTTTAAAAGTTTTATAATATTTTTATTTCATTAAATATTTCCCAATTACATGTAAAAAAAATTACTTTCTTTTTAAAATTTTTGAGTTCTAAATTCTCTCCAAGCCTGCCCTTCCACCTACCACTTCAGAAGACAAGCAATATGATATTGATTATATATGGAAAGTCTTTTAAAACATAATTCCATATTAGCTATGTTGCAAAAGGAAACACACACACACACACACAATATAAAAAGTGAAAAAAGTATGCTTCCATTAGCACTCAGAGTTCATCAGTTCTCTCTCTCATCATGAGTCCTTTGGAATTGTTGTTGATCTTTGTCTTTATCATAGTAGCTAAGTCTTTCACATTTGATCATTATTACATTATTGCTGTTACTGTGTACAGTGCCTCCTAGTTTTGCTCGCTTCACTTTGCATTAGTTCATATAGGTCTTCCCAGGTTTTTCTGAAACCATCCTGCTTGTCATTTCTTATAGCACAATAGTATTCCATCACAAATCAAAGGCTGCAACTCATTCAGCCATTACTCAGTTGATGGGCATCCCTTCAATTTCCAATTCTTTGCTACTACAAAAAGAGCTGTTGTAAATATCTGTACAAATAGATCCTTTTCCCTTTTCTTTTGATCTCTTTGAGATTCAGAACTGATAGTGATATTGCTGGGTCAGAGGGTATGCAATTTGATAGCCCTTTGGACACAGTTCCAGATTGTTCTCCAGAATGGTTGGACTAGTCACAACTCTGCCAACAGTGCATTAGTGTCCCAATTTTTTCATATCCCCTCCAGCATTTGTCATTTTTCTTTTTTGTCATGTTAGCCAATCTGATAGATGTGAGGTGGTATTTCAGAGTTTTTTAAATTTGCATTTCTCTAATTAATAATGATTTTGAGTATTTTTTCCTGTGATTGTTGATAGTTTTGATTTCTTTTTCTGAAAACTGCCTGTTCCTATCCTTTGACCATTTATCAATTAGGGAATGGAACATTTTGAGAACCAAGAAAAAAAAAATAGAGTTCTGGTCTACTTCCCTGTAACTCATGGATATTTTTAGACACTGCAACAATATACAGATTTTCCATTTTTGCTTAAAGTTTTCAAAACAGTAATAACTCTTATTACTCTTCTTTTTAGTTATGCTGAATTTTCATTAAAAGTTTGATACTCATAAATGAAATTTTTCTCTTTATAGTTTATTTATGGAAATCCTGAAGTACTGTACTGATTGTGATGAAATACAGTTTAAGGAGGATGGATCTTGGGCTCCCATGAGATCAAAAAAGGAGGTCCAGGAAGTTTCTGCTTCTTATAATGGAGTTGATGGTGAGTATTTTTAAAATGTTATGCTGATGTAAGCATTTTAGTAACAAAAAAAATTTTGCATTAAAAAACTGAAGTTTATGATTATCTCAAGCATTTGTAGAAATTACTTAGTATTCAGAAGTAGAAAAACTCCTTTTAAGTTAAACTTTTTGCCTAACTTTTTCCAAATTTTCTGATATAAAATTTCAAAGTAACGTAATCCAATAACTCATTGGCAAAATTGTGCTTTTTTTATTTTATTTTATTTTTTTAAATTTTTAGACAGTTGGGGTTAAGTGACTTCCCTGGGGTCACAGAGCTAGTAAGTGTCAAGTGTTTGGTCTGAGGCCGGATTTGAAATCAGGTCCTTCTGACTTCAGGGCCAGTGCTCTATCCACTGCGCCACCTAGCTGTCCCTGAAATTGTGCTTTTGACAGACTTGATGTGGAGTGGTCAGTATTCTCATTTCACTTGCTTTTTGGCACGGCTTTTATTATATTTTCCCCAGGAAGCCACCATAACTTAGATTTAAAATCTTTACTCACATTTTTTAATCACCTGAAACATGTTGAATACTGCACAGATAATTTGGTATAAGTCAGAGTACTTGGTTTCATCACAAAGGGGCAATAAAAAGCACACTTAAAAAAATTAAATCATAAAGGTTTAGCAACTCATATTAAAACAGCATTCAGAACTAAAAGGAGCAGCTCACCTTTTCATTTTTCCAAACTGTAACTGATGATTCATTAGATTTCTCAAAGAAAGAAAAAAAAAATGTTAAAATGTTTTTGTTTTGTTTTGTTTTGTTTTTTTAGGCAATTGGGGCTAAGTGACTTGCCCACGGTCACACAGCTAGTAGGTGTCAAGTGTTTGTTCTGAGGTCGGATTTGAACTCAGGTCCTCCTGACTTCAGGGCTAGTGTTCTATCCACTATGTTACCTAGCTGCCCTAAAATGTATTTTCTTTCTAAATTAAACCACTGTGTTTCCCCCGTAGGATGCTTGGGTTCTCCCTTGGATCACCAAGTATCTTCTCACCACCAATCTTCAAACAAAAATAAGAAAGTAGAAGTAATTGATCTCACTATAGACAGTTCATCAGATGAAGAAGAGGAAGAACCATCTGCCAAGCGAACCTGCCCTTCGGTATCTCCTGCATCGCCATTAAATAACAAAGGGTAAGTGTTAGTTCGAGAAAGAATTCTAGGGCCAAGAGTTAGAATTTAAATTGATCTGGTAAATAATGACTAATAGAATTAAATTTCAAATTTTTTTCTTATAAAGTACATTAGGTTTTTGTGTTTTTTAAAACATTATTTATCTACCACATTTGGGGCCTGTGTCCAAGCTTCTAGAAGAAACCATCAGCACTCATAACCTCTATTTCCTTACCTCTCACTTTCTTCTCAACTTTTTAAAATCTGACTTCTGACCTCACCACTAGTGAAACTTTGTTCTTCAAAGACAATCTCTTAATTCCTATATTCCATGGCCTTTTCTCAGATCTCATTCTTCCTGACCTCTCTGATACTTTTGACACTATTGACCACTTCTGGATACTCTGACCTCCTTGGGTTTTCATGACGATGATTTCTTACTCTTATCGTTTATGTCTGGTCCCTAATCAGGGGTGATCTTCATTGCTTTGCCCTGGGTCCTTTATTCTTTTTTTCTCTACACTTTTTCTATTGGTGATCTTTTATGTTTCTATGGATTTTATTATTAGTTCTATGCCCATAACTGCAAACTCTGAATATGTACCCATTGGCTCTTTCCTTAGCTCTTGTCCTTGATTACCAATTACCTATTAAACATTTAACGGGGTGTTCCGTAGCCATCTTGAACTCAACATGTCCAGAACTGAATTAATTTTCTCTTCTCCAAAATCCAACTCTTCACATATGAAGTCTTTCCTGGTCCTCCATTTATTTTGTCTATATCTTATGTATATGTGTGTACATGTTGTCTTCCTTTATAGAATGTAATTCCCTTAAGGGCAGGAACTGTTTCATTTTTTGTCTTTGTGTCCCCCACTGCCTAGCATGTTGTAGATGTTCGATAAATGCTTGTCGATTGAGTGTCTGACCTGTATAATATTCCCTTTTCTCCAGTTAGCCATCATGCTAGTTCAAACACTCATTACTTTCCATCTGTATCAGTGATCTCCAAATTCTTTTGATTGAACACACAGTTTTTTAAAAATGATGGTGGCTGTTGCTCCCCAATGTGTTTTTATTTACTTATTTATAAGTTATTTACACGTATTACTGTGCACTAATGATTATGTCCTTTCTTCTTCAGACTTCCCCCCCCATCATCCCCATTCATTTATTTACCTTCAGTTCTCCTTGTCTATTATTTGCTTCCCTGCTGCCTACAAACATGCCCACATCTCCGCCATCCTCAGAAAACCCTCACTTCATCCATCCATCTATCCATCCATCCATCCATCCATCCATCCCCACTATATTGTTCCATTTCTTTCTTCCTTTTTTGGCTAAACCCCTTGAGAAGGCTGTCACCATCTGGTGCCTCCACTTCTTTTCTTCTCACTCGCTTCTTAACTCTGTACAGTCTAACTTTCAACTTCATCATTCAACTGAAACTGTCCTCCCGAGTTCCTAATGCTACATCTCAGTGTCTTTTCTCAATCCTCATCCTCCTCGACCTCTTTGCAGTATTTTACATCATTGATCATTCTCTTCTCCTTGATACTCTCTACTCAGTAGGTTTTTGTGACACTGCTCTCCTGTCCAACCTGTCCTATCTGTCCAGTCATCTCTTTCATTCTCCTTTGTTGAAGCTTTATCTCGACCTCACCCACTAACTATGGGTATCCCTCTACTGAGCCCTCTTCTCCCTCTCTACTAATTTTTCTTGGTGATCTCTTCAGCTACCATGGATTCAGTTATATCTGAAGGTGATTATTAGATCTGTGTGTCTAGCCCTAACTCCTCTCCGTCTGTCTCAGATAACCATGTCCATTGTGCTGTCTATTCTGTCTCATATAACCATGGCCTATTGGCTATCTTGAACTTGATGTCCTATAGACATCTTAAACCAACATGTCCAAAATTGAACTCATTATCTCTCCCCTCCCCCAAACACTCTTTTCTTCCTAATTTCCTTATTAGTGTTGAGGGTATCACCATCCTCCCAGTCACTCGGGCTTGACTCCTCATTCTTTCTCACCCCCGATATCCATTTCATTGCTAAGGTCTGTCAATTTTACCTTCATAACATCTTTCCATATATTCCCCCTCCTCTCCTCTGACACTACAAGCATCCTCACATCTAGACTATTGTAATAGTCCACTGGTGGGTCTGCCTGCTTCAAGTTTCTCTCTGTTCCAGTCCATCTTCCACTCAGTTGCCAAAGTGATCTTCCTAAAGTACAAGTATGACCACTTCACCCACTCTCCCTACTCAATAAACTTGGCATTCAAAGCCCTTCATCACCTGCCTCCCTCCCCACCTTTCCAGTCTTCTTTCACCTTACATCCCTTCCCCCATATATTGTGTAATCCCATCTGGCCTCTTTGTTGTTCCTTGCACAAGATATTTCAGGCATTTTCTCTAGCTGTAACCCATACCTAGAATCCTTTCCCTCCCCATTGCCTCCTGACTTCCTTGGTATATCCTTCCAAGTCGCAGCTAAAGTCCTTCCTTCTACAGGAAGGTTTTCCCTTTTCCCCTTCATTCTGGTGCCTTCCTTCTGTTGATTGGTTACAGTTTATCCTATATATAACTTGTTTCTACATAGGTGTTTAAATTTTGTCTCCTCCATTATACTGTGACCTCCTTAAGAGCACGGACTGTCTTTTGCCTTTCTTTCTATCACTAGCACTTAGCACAGTACCCGGCACATAGTAGGTATTTAATAAATGTTTATTGACCGACTGACTCTCCCACTCAAAATGAAAAAGAGGAAGTTGGGACTCTCAGTTCACTAGTCACTTTCCCTGGGGGCAGAGCCTACTCTCTAGAGAGGCACCTCCCACTCTGATGAAGAGGAAGAATTTTTTCAGTGGCACCAGTTCAGCTGCTCTTGTGGGTGCCCTGAAGCCCGGAGAGTCCGATGACGAGACTGTGAGGGAATCTGGGGGTTTACCCAGCAAAGAGAAGGGCTGAGTGTTGTGGGGTCAGAGTAGATGCAGTTGGATTAGAAACAGGTCCAATAGTTGCCTAGTGCTTTGGGAGTGTGATGAAGCCCATCTTCCTGCTCTGTGATCAATTGACTACACATCGTTGGAGATAGTCCATAGGCCCCCTGGGATAAGACCAAACTTTTTTTTTTTTTTTTTTTTTTTTAAGGCAATTGGAGTTAAGTGACTTGCCCAGGGTCACACAGCTAGTAAGTGTCAAGTATTTGGTCTGAGGCTGGATTTTAACTCAGATCCTCCTGACTTCAGGGCCAGTGCTCTATCCACTGCGCCACCTAGCTGCCCCTAAGACTCAACTTTAGAGACCACTGGCCTACACTATTGTAATAATTTTTAAATTTGTTTCCTACTTCTAGGATCTCCTATCCTATCTTAGGATCTCCTATCCTATCTTAGGATCTCCTATCCATTCTCCAAACAACTAAAAGATAATCTTCCTAAAATATAGATCTTACCATTGTTCTTCCCCTTCTCAAGAAAAGAAGCTTTCCGTTGCCTCTGTGAAATGAGAACTTGTCATTTAAAGCCCTTTGAAATCTAGCTCCAGTCTCCTTTTCTGGATTTTTTTTCACACAACTCCCCCTTGTGCATTCTACCTTTCAGCCACACTGGCATGCTTATTGTTCCCCAAACTTGGCATTCCATGTTCTCATACTGTGCTTTTATTGTCTTGTCACCTCATTACCTACAATGTATCATAACCTCACTTCTACCATTTAAAATTTTAATTTCCTTCAAAGCTAAGTTCAGGTGTACTGAGAGGCTGTCCTGAATTTCCTAGTTGTTAATGCTCTCTCCTTCCTCAACTTATTTTACTTTATACTCGAAGTGACCCAGCGAGAATGACCTTAAAAGACCTCCATTCCTGTAAACCACCATTGATAGACAAAAGGAGGTAGCTTCATTCACTTTGAGTGAATGCCCTATTCTCCTTCTCTCCAACATAATCTATTCTCCTAGAAGTTACTGCTGCTCTTGCCTGACTTAACAAACAATATTACACTTTCAAGAACCATTGACCCAGGACAGGGCAGAGGTAGTACCTCTGACACCAGGCATTCAACTTCAGGACTTTGCTCGGAACCTAGCCTCAGACACTAGACTTCCTGCCATCAGGACCCTGTCTTATAGGACCCCTGACACTAGGCTCAAACATTTTTACTCCTACTTACATGGTACTGGATAACGTTGGAGGAAGTCTCAGAACTGTCAGTACAAATTTCTTATTGCATCCCAATTGGACCATCACTTCTGTATAGCAATCCTTTTTTTTCTTCTCTAGTTGACTATCTAGAGAGAGAACTAAGTGATGCCACTCCCCACCATCGCATGACCTGTTAGAAATAGAATCCCAGGCAAATGGTAGGACATTACCTCATAGCAGCTATCCATTCTAAGCTCCTACTTTCTCCTATTCAGTCCGTCAGAACCTACCTAATTTTCTATTCTCTCCTTTTCTCTAGCTTCTAATGAAGAGGTGACCCTTTTATTTGCCAGGGCAATAGTTTCTTCTTTTGCTCTTGACCCTCTTGTCTCTTCCAGCAGTTTCCTTTCTCAATCATTCTATCTAGTCTTCAGTCCCCTATGTCCATTCTGCCTCTTCATCCCTACTTGGCTACTTTCAAGCACTACCATATTCCCCCAACCTTTAAAAAAACGGTAACAACAACAACAGTAAACCTTAGTTGACTCTCATCTCCCTTAAGCTATAGTCAAATACCTCTTCTACGTTTCATGGCTAAATTCTTAGGAAAAAGCCATCTATACTTGTAGTCTCCATTCCCATCTCCCCCTACCCTTTTAACTCATTTCACAACTTTACTAAAGTCTGGTTTGTAATCCTACTGCTTAACTAAAACTCTTCTCCTCAAGGTTACCAGTGGTGTCTGAGCTTCCAGGTCCTTCCTTCTCCAGTCCATTCTCCACATAGCCTCCCCTCAAGGCTTTACACACACACACACACACACACACACACACACACACACACACACACA